TAAGCAAGAAACTGGGCATGGTGGCGTAAGCCTGTAATCCCAGCTCTTGGGAGACTGAAGACGGGTGGATCACTATGAGTCCAATCTGTGTAATGAGACCCTGTAGACCCTGTACTAAATACATTTAAAAAAAATAGTAAGCAAAAGAAATTTAGTGGAAATATATAATTTTTAAGAAAGGGTCTCAAGATAAAAGTATACACCATATAAGTTAGAATAGTAAATTTTATGTTATATATGTTTTATTTTAAATTTGTAATTTCCTTTGTGTGTGTGCATGTGAGAAGTGTGTGTGTGTGTGTGTGTGTGTGTGTGTGTGTGTGTGTGTGAAGTGCTTTGCCAGGTAGTCCAATTTGGTCTTGGCCTCCCTGTGTAGTCTAGATTGGCCTCAAAGTCAGGATCTTTTTGTTTCAGCTTCCTGAGTGCTGATACCACAGGGTTATACTACCACATATGCTTTCTAGTTTGTTTCATTTTTGAGGCTGTATTAACCTTGGTACCAAAACCTTACAAAGTCAACAAGAAAAGGAACATTATAAGCCATTTTCACTCATAAATGAAATCTAAACAAAACAGTAGGAAACTGAACCAACAATGTTCACAAAAGAAATATATCATGACCATACTTGTTTTACTCACGCAGCTAAGGATATATCATAACTTACAATATATCTATAGATTAGAGGAATACAGATAATATCAACAGATTTATGTGAAATAAGTTATAAAATTCAACATCCATTGATGATTTAAAAACACATTCTCTCTCTCTCTCTCTCTCTCTCTCTCTCTCTCTCTCTCTCTCTCTCTCTCTCTCCCACTCTTAGCAGTCTAGAAGAAACTTTTAAACCTAATATGAGACAGTAAGAACTATTTCTAGTAACCAGTAGAACCCATTTATTTCTTGGTAAGATGTCAAAACTGTGTGTCCTAAGGTTAAAAACAAAAGAGAAAGGCTTGTGAGTAATTGAATAAATGTTCATTTTCTGTTGCAACTCTTTAGAAGCATAGTAAAGTAGGAAAAGAAAGGTTTTTGAATTGAAAAGAATCAAAATTATATTATTACTTGATGTTAACTGTCAATGTAGAAAATTTAAAAAATTCAGGGTAAATCTGAATTAAAAGAGATCAGTGACAATAAAACTAAAAAGTTAAACTACATCAAAACTTAAAACTGTCCAGGTGTGGTGGCACATGCTTGAAATCTTAGCACTTGCAAGAGGCTGAGGCAGGAGGATTGCTGCAAGTTTGAGGCCAGCCTGGGCTACAAAGTGAGTTCGAGGCCAGCCTAAACTGCATAGGGAAACTTTGTCTCAAAAAGACAAAGCAAAAAAAATCCTTAACACTGTGCATTAAATGCATAGCACAGTGAAGCATCCCCATAAAATGGGTAAAGATACATCTGAATTAGATATCTTAAAAGCAATTAGTATTCAGATTATATAAAAAAGTACAATTCAACAACAAACCCCCACATAAAACCCCACTGAGAAATGAGCAAGGGCCTGGAAAAGACATTTCTCTAAAGGTGAGGACTAACAGGGATATGAAAACATGCTCAGCATGAACAATCCTCAGGAAAATTGAAATCAAAACCATAATTAGCGTTTCTTCATACTATTATGGTGGCTACTACTGTATTTAAAAGAAAATAAACTTTATTGAGATTGTAAAGACATTGGAACCCTTTTGAACTGTTGGTAGATTTTTATGTGGTACAGGTGTTTTGGAAAAGAGAAAGGAGGTGCCTCAAAAGCTTAAAAATAGAACTATTGTATCATCCAGCAGTTCAACATAAATGTTCCAAAGAATTGAAAGCAAAGTCTTTGTACCCTCATTCATAGTAGCATTATGTATTCATGATAGCCTAAAGGTGGAAATAAACCAGGTATCCATCATCACTGGTTATCAGGGCCCAGAGGAAGGGACAAAGGACTGCTGTTTCATGGGTACAATATATAATTTCAGTTCTGTAGATTGGGAACATCTGGAGATTGATTGTACAACAATGTGAATATGCTTAACATTGCTAAATTGTACATTTTAAAACAAGTGAAATGATAAATATTGGGATTGTTTATTTTGCCATAATTAAAAAATAAGACAGGCCTGGTGATGATAGAACTCTGCCTAGACATTTTAGCAACTTAGTGAGACTTTGTCTCAAAAATTTATTATTTATTTTTTGGTGGAATGGGGATTTATCAAACTCAGGCCTTTGTACTTGCCAGGCAAGCACTTATTCTACTGAGCTATCTCCTCAGCCCCTCAAAAATTTAAAAAGGACTGGGATATAGCTCAGTGTGAAGGCCCTGAGTTAAGTCCCTAGTATTGTAATCAGTCAGTCAGTTAGAAGGATTGCTGGGTGCAGGACTATAAAATAGGAATAAATATTAGAAATGAATAGATTCTCTAAAGAATTGAAATTATTGGGCTGGGGAAAGCTCAGAAGCTTAAGCACCTGCCTGGCAAACACAAGGTCTTGAGTTCAATCCCCAGTACCAAAAAAAAAAACACAAAAAACAAAAAAAACCAACAGTAATTTAAAAAAAAATTGAAATTCTTTTAAATTTAAAATCTAAAATTAATTGAAAAACAATGAAGAATGCTCAGACACATGGGGAAATAAATACATTCATAGAAAGGGATATTCATATTTAAAGATACCAGTTCTCTGCAAAATTATCTATTTATTCTATCAGTCCCTATTGAAATCCCAGGAAAGTTGTTGCTGTTGCTGGTGGTGGTGGTGGTGGTGGTGATGGTGGTGGTGGTGTGTATAACATAAACTGATTCTAAAATCTAGGTGAAAGTACAAAGGATCAACAATAATGAAACTCTGAAAGAACAATATAAGTTTGGGCACTTGCACTATCTGAAAAGATAAGCTACAACACGTAATTACATCACTGTAGTATTGGTACAGGATAGAAATATATCCATCAAATAGAAAGGAATGATTTATTAAATGAGGTAACTGATTGTACGTATAAAATAGCATTAGATTCTTCCCTCATACCTATCAAAAATCAGTCCTAAGTAGATTCACATTTAAATGCAAAAGGTAAGAATTATAAAGCATTAGAAGACAATGTGGAAAAATGACTTTATGACCTAAGAGAGGGAAATATTTCTCAAGATATAAAAAATAAAGGAAAAGATTACTAAATTGGTAATGTTGATATATAAAAATAGTAGTGCTGTTATTCATAAGTGTAACAGTCTGAGAAGCCTAAAGGAGAAGCTGTATGTACAACATGACTTTATTGTTTCTGTTTTGACTTCAGAGTTGAACTCGGGTTCTTGTGCTTGCCAAGCAAGCATTCATGCCGCCGAGCCCAGCCCAACATGACTTTTTAGAGAAAAATAGCCTGTGTAACACTGGCAAAGATGGAAATAGGCGCTTCACAGGAGAAACACAATGGCCCATGAGAATAGGAAAACTAAGTATTTTTAGTTAATAGGGAATCATAAAACCACAATAGCATGCCAAATTTTTAAAATGTCTTGCAAGGAAAAAAAAAAAAAAAAAGTAAAAGTAAAATGTCTGGCAATAGCCAAGGTTGACCAGAATGTGAAGTTTCAGAAAGTCTCACATAGCTGATGGAGTGGAAATTAGTGTAGTCATTTTATAAAATAGGTTAGCAGTACTTAATGAACTTGAATAATATATATATAGCCAGAGGGATCAATAATTTGAGGCCTAGAAAATTCTTTCCATGGCCACCAAGAGACATGGAGTAGAATGTTGTTTGTGAATGACAGCATTGTGAATGACCAGGACAACCAATTTCTTTAAATGCTTCCTGTCCTGAGTTGGCTCTAAAGAAATTGGTATTATTTAGTCTTTATTATAAACACAAATCAATTAACTTTGCTTGTCTGTTCTGAAAGGCAAACATTTTACTTTATTATAATATGTTAACTTTTATAGTAATCAGCATATAAAACTGAAGTGGAGATATGGTATTGATGAAACACATAGTGCTTCAAGTGGCACATTTAGTAATAAACTGCAGAATGAAATATTTCAACTCCGTTTTGCAATCAATGTCTTGTCAGAATTTCAGACTACATTGTTATTAAAGAGCACTGAATGGACACCATCACTTATAGAAAGCCTTTTTTAAATGGAGTTTTAAGAGGGCTGGAGGGCTAGTTTTATCCCACTATTGCCCCTTGAAAAGGTAGATGGGGTCTTTGGAAATAATGTTCTACATAACTTTCTTGTGTAATTTTATTTTACTTTTGTGCATTTTTACTATTAAATCTTAAGCTCGATAATTTTGGGATTTGGTGTTTCTGGTTTTCAGAGCAAATGTGTCAGTATGCCAACTTAATCTTGGTCTGTTGCCCAGATTAGTTTCAAACTCAATTCTCCTTCCACAGCCTTCTGAGTGCTGGGATTATAGGTGTGTGACATGTGACATCATGTCCAGCTCATAAATTCTTTTTGTGCCTCTGATATATAATAATTTAGAGTCATGGGTCTGGTCCAAATTTAGAGTCATGAATCTGATCCTGACTTCCTGCGTGAGTGTTTACATTTGTATCTGCCAGGATACCCAGGCCCTAAAAACCAGATGTTCACCCTTACATTTATTTAGGAATATTCTAACAACTAATTACTAACATCCATAAGCTCTGTACTCTTGCCTGCTTAATATTGTAGCCATCAAGAAGTTCTGGTTCTTATTGGACTTCAACATCTTATAAAAAGGATCTAGAAGCATCAAAAGAAGGAATTCATACAAAGATATGTACAGCTCCAGAAAGACAGTTAACATTAATGTGATAGTGTGACATAGTACAGAGGAAAGGATCACAAATGATCTCCATGAGTTCCTTTCTGCCAACCCTACTTCTGTTTACTATAATGAATCTTGCTTTGATTATGAAAAAATATTTTTCTGTGCTCTTGTCACCAAGTTCTTTTGGAGTTCTTTGTCATTCTTGTGAAGAGTTAGTTTCATATGTCCTTATTTTCTACTTTGACACAGAAATCTCCTGCGAAGAAGCTGAGCCATGCAATTAGTAAATCTTTGGGATGTGTACCCTCCAGAGAACCTGCGCATCCTGTTTTTCCTGAGCAACCAGAGAAACCACTTGACCTTGCACATATAGTGTAAGTATACACCTGGATAGTGGGCCACATGGAAGTGGGGAACTCAGAAAATCCCAAATATTATATAACATGAACACTGATCTTTATAGTTTTTTCATTTCATTGGGGAACTCAGAATCAGACTTTTTTTTTTTTTTTTTTTTTTTTTTGCGGAACTGGGGATTGAACTCAGGCCCTTGCACTTGCCAGGGAAGCACTTATTACACTCAGCTATCTCCCCGGCCCCTCAGACATTCTTTATAGCACCATAAATGTGTGGGAACTTAGCTCCTACTTCCTAACATTTAAGTAATATTCCAAAGAAGTCTCCAGGGCCTGGGGAGATAGATCAGTAGAATAAGCACTTGCCTGGCAAGTGCAGGATCCTGAGTTCAATCTCTAGTACTGCAGGAAAAAATAAAAATAAAAATGAAGTCTCCAAAAATGTGAATAAATGGAAAAGTGATTACTGTTGAACTGGATTGCCTTTATTTGTGTTGTTCCCTTAAATCAGTGTTAGAGATCGTTTCTTCTCCACAGCTGTAATGCTTACAGAGATTTGAACTATATGATGTGGAAATGAATATTAATTTGCTCTTTCAAATTAAGAGAAAATTAGCATAAAATTATTCTACAAATAAAACAGTTGACACACTGACACACACACACACATACACAAACACATACACAGATTCTTGAATATTCATGCTAAAGAAAGCAAAGTTAGAGACCAGAAAATTAAATAGAGAAAGGTAAGGGTGAAAGAAACAATGAAGGATAGGATGTGGCCTCTGCACTGACTTTTTCACTCTGATTAATGATGACAAGAGTAAGTTTACTTTGCCGGATAAAGTTGGCAGATTGCTGCATATTAATCTTCATCAGATATATGAAAGTTTTTCTGTTACAATGAATACTCCTTTTACTTACCTAATGACAGATGGTATTTTGACTAAATGAGCTATTGGAGATGTCAGTCTTTTTTTTCTTTAAGAACTTTGAATAACTTTTATATTAGAAGAGTACATGCATGTGGATTGAAAAACCCAATAATACAAAAGAACTTATAATAAATGCAATATTTATTATAAGTTAAACATTCCATGCTTTAACATTTCTTTGGGGTTTTTGGGTCTATTAGGAGTTGCCTCCATATTGCTAAGTTATATATGTAGAGTGCTGTTTCTTGACCTAGCAGGTATTACTGAATTCCATTGTGAGCCTAAAGAATCATCTTCATTTGTAACTCTGTTTACCAACTCATTCCAGGTTTATTTTTATTTTATTTTTTATATTTTTTGGAACCAGGGATTGAACTCAGACCCTTGTGCTTACCAGGGAAGCATTTATTCTACTGAGCCATCTCCCTGACCCTTATTTTATTTTTTGAAGAGAATAAAAAATAGTTCAAAAAAGTTAGAAATGATACAGAATTTCACTAAACAAAATAATAGGAATTTAATAAGGATTTAGTTATGTTGTATGTTTTCTTCAAATTAACTGTCAGTTTCTCATAATTATATTTCCATTTTAAGTTGGCTACTTTGTAATTTTAAATAATCTTGAAACTCAATTTATAATATCCTTTAACTTCTTCATAAAGTAAACAAATTAGTACCTGGTGTCTTATTTTTTCTTTTGCCTCCTAAGGGCCATAACTTTGATATTGTCAGTGCTGATAGTTGTACTATTCTGTGACCATTAGTAAATCTCCTGAGATTAAGTTTTCAGTCTAAAAGTTCAAAATCAAATAATAGCATTTACAGTTAATATTACAGAGTAAAATAATGCAATTCTGTGTCTCCTATTTTGGAGCTCTGGTGTCTTGGTCCTTGTGCAGTTACTGTCTCACCAAGAAGAGTTCATTAGCTCTTCTTTGTTACATATCACTGATCACTCAGAGTTGTACATGTTGGGGCTGAGATGGGCTTAGTGGTGGAGCACATATTTAGCGTGTGTGTGGCACTAGGTTCCATCCCCAGACCACATGTCTGCTTGACACCCTATCTGTCATTTTTTTATGGCTGGATTGGTTGTATTATATAATTTCTGTTGTTTTTCTTTCAGTTTTCTTTTGCTGTCTTCTTATTGGCAATACCCCCCCACACACATACGCTGTGTCCAGAATGCAGTTTGCCCATTCTTGTGATTCCTTTTTGCTGTTGTTAAATTTATTACATTTTTCTTTTTTGGTTTTTTTTTTTTTTTTTTTTTTTTTTTTTTTTTGAGGGGGTGGCTCCAAATGCCTTCAGGGCAGGTTTGGCTGGCTTGAGTTGTGGGGATTGAACCACAGCAATCTGAGCGTGACTTGTTGAAGCAGCCACTTAAAGAACTGAGCTAAGGGACAGGCCCCCGGTTAATATTTTTATGTTATTATTTTTTTAAAAGCTTGTCTGCCCTAAAGGCTTTCTCCTTAATTATTGTTTAATGTTTTATGTATATCTTTAATTTATCTGGAATAGGTTTTTATTTATGATAAGATAAGAATACCCAATTCTTCCTCCATTCCCTTGAAGCCCCCACTTCATTTAAACACTAACTTGTTTTGGGCCGTTTATTGGACAAGCTATCATTTCCTCACCCACTGACGTACAGTATCCTACAGTTAAAAATGAGGTTTCCCAATCTGAATGGTTTGGTTTTGGGCTCTTTATTCTGTCCATCAAATTATCCCTTACCACTTTGGGTATTAAAAGATTAAGTAATCTTTTTCAGGAGTATTGTCTATGTCTTTGCCCTTTCGTATAAACTGTAGAGTCAATTAAATAACTTGAATCCCTTGTAAGATTTTTTTTGAGTTTTTTTAATTGAAAATTTGTTGAATCTGAAGATAAAATTGGAGAGAATTGATATCTTTCCAATATTAAATTTGTTTTCCAGGCATGTATTTTGTCGTCCCACTTATTCAAATGTCTTTTTATACCTTTAAGTAAAGTTTTATCTGAGAAAAGTCTTATATATATTAGACTAATTTTTATGTATTTTGTATTTATTGTTTCCATTACAAGTTGTGCTCCTTTCCATTACATTTTTGAGGCATATTTTACATGTAGTATGCATCTCCATTAAGTGAATAATTTTGTGAATTTTGGTAAATACATACTGTCATTCAAACAGATTTTTTTTTACTGTTTTTTACAATTGTTACTGTTGTTTGGGAATGTAAATGTGTATGTATTATCTACTGCCTATTCATCTTACTTAATTTATTCTTGTAATTTGTACTCTGATTCTTTCACATTTTTTATAGATGAGTATATCATCCTCAAATAATAACGGCTTTGTATCTGCCCATCCACTTTTATAATTTTAAAAATTAATCATATGTTTTTGGGTATGAGAATCTTACTGTGGTGGCTAGAACCACCTGTGCAATACAGAATAAAAGTGATGTAATAGAGACATTCTTGTGTTTTTGTTAATCTCAAAGAGAATACTTTTAGCATTCATTTAGTACTGTTTAATTTGGTTTTATAGGTTGTACCAAGTTAAAGACATTCCTTTTTATTTCTGGTTTCTATATAGTTTTTATTTCTGGTTTCTATATAGTGCTTTCTTTTTCTCATGAGTGAATGCTGAATTTTGTCAGACATTTTCTGTATTGAGAAGAGTTAGATGAAGTTTCTTTTATTGTGCTAATGTAAATTACATTGATTTGTGTTTGGGAAAGGGAGTATTTGGTGCTGGGGATCCAACCCATGACCTCATACACACTAGGCAAGTGCTGTGCCACTGAGCTACATCCCCAGCCCTACATCCCCCGTGGTTTTTAAAACCACTCTTACATTTTTATAATAAACCTAAGTTCAGCATCCTTTTAATATACTGTTGAATTTTGTCTGCTAAAATTTTGTTTAGATTTTGGCTATGTTCATAAGTGAAATTGCCCTTCAATATTTCTTGGTTTTTGTTTTTTGTCTTACTTTGATTTTCCTTTTATCATCTAATTTACTGCCTTCAAAATGTTAGGAGCTGGGCGTGGTGGCACACACCTGTATTCTCAGAACTCTGGGAGGCCAAGGCAGGAAGATAACAAGTTTGAGTTCAGCCTTGGCAACACTGTAACTTAGTGAGACCCTGTCTCAAAATTTATAAAAAATGAAAAAGTGCTGGGAATGTTCTTAGAGTGAAGGTCTTGGCTTTAGTCCTCAGTAGCCCCTGCACACACACAGGATTTCTTTCTTTTTTTTTGGTGGAGCGTATAAAAGATGAAGTTATAATCACCCTAATTTTTTTTATTAAACTCAGCAGTGAAGTTCTCTGTGCCTAACTAGAGCTTTCTTTATGTGAGGAATTTTAGCATTTGACATTTTAAAACAATTAGAAAACTATTTTCTTTCTTTTCTGTCACTTTGGGACATTTTGTAGTTGTAAGAATTTGCCAGTTTGTAGGGCAAGGGACATAGCTCAGCGGTCTAAGCTTCTGACTGGAAAGTGCAAGAACTTGGGTTCAATCCCCAGTACCACATGCCAGCCCTGCCCTGGGCCCACCGACCTGGCCACCAAGCCCGGATGTGGTGGGACACACCTGTAATTGTAGCCTGTAATCCTAGTGCTTGAGGAGGCTGAAACAGGAGGATCACTATGAGTCTGAGCTGGGTAGGGAGACCCTATACCAAATACATAATTTTTTTTTAAAAAAAGAATTTGCCAAATAGCTCAGTGGATTAAAGCGCCTGCCAGCAAGCACAGGGGCGAGGTTCGATCCCCGGCCCTGTCATGCCGGCCCCGCCCCCGCGGTGTGCTGAGACAGCGAAAGAGACTGGGCGTGGTGGTGCGCACCTGTAATCCCAACTCTTGGGAGGCTATAAACAGGTGGATCACTACGAGTCCAATCTAGTAGTGAGACCCTGGACATCTCATAGACCCTTCCCTAATGAAAAAAAAAAAAAGAATTTGCCAGTTTGATATAAATTTTGAATTACTGACACATGGGTTGGGGATGTAGCTCACTGGCAGAGCACTTGCCTAGCAAACTCTGGGTTTGATCCTCTGTACCTAAAGAAGTTATCTGTATAAAG